CTCCTCCTTTCGTTCCCACTGCTGCAGCTGCCGCTGGGGGGAGGGTGTGAGGGTGTGGGGGAGCAGGGGGAGTGGCACCAGGGTGGCGGGTGTGAGGCAACAAGCAGCCGTCCTTCACCTCTCCTCTCTTCCCCCCTTCTCTGCTGCTCCTGCAACAATGTGGGGGAAGGGAAGGAGGAGGGTGAGGAGACGGAGGGGGTGACCAGCCAGAGTCAGCCCGCCTGCAGTACCTGCTGTTGCTTGTTTAATTTCTTGCTTGTGTTGCTTGTGTACCCCTGCAAGTTGTGTTCTGCACAAACTCCTGCTGCAGGCAGTTATGGGGGAGTGTCAGACTTTATATTATTTATATTTGTAACTGCCTGTAGCTGTAGTTAGTGTAGTTATTGTAAACTTTGTTAGGTGGTGCACCCTTTTGTTTCCTATGCTATATGTTCCTTGAACCTATAGTGAAACCCCACTTTCCAACTTTCTCGACCCTCTCACCCTTGGCTCAACTCACTCGACATCCTAGTTGGGCCTAGGCTACTAAGCCTAGGCCCTAGTAAAAACTTAGTTACCTCTCGCTCATTTTAACATCTGAAGGGGTACATCACGATTGCGCAGGAGGAGAAAAGTGTTTCAATAATACCACTCCTCTGGCTCCCCAACACCCTCACACCCTCCCACCCTCCCCCCCAGCGGCAGCTGCAGTAGTGGGAACGAAAGGAGGAGGCGGGCTGGCGCTGGCTGGTCTCCCACTCCATCCCCTCACCCTCCCCCTCCCCCTCCCCTTCCCCCTCCCCCACACACTGCTGCAGGAGCAGCAGAGGGGGGGGAAGAGAGGAGAGGTGGAGGGACGGCTGCTGGGTGGTCTCACACCCGCCACCCCAGTGCCACTCCCCGGGCTCCCCCACACCCTCACACCCTCCCCCCCAGCGGCAGCTGCAGCAGTGGGAACAAAAGGAGGAGGGAGGGGGGGGGGGGGGCGACGCATGGCCTCCCTGGGCGCCAAAGCAGGCGGCAGAGGGGGCGACACCTGCCCCCCCACGCGGCCCCCGAAGGAGCCGTGACGGGTGACGGGAAAAGGGGGGGGGGCGGTGCACGTGCCCCCGGTGTGCCGCGGCTGGCGACGGGGCATGGCCGGGGCGGGGTCGGGGCCGCAAGTGGGCGGGGCCGTAGGTGGCATCGGGGCCGAAGTGGGGGACGGGGCCGCAAGGGTGGGCGGGGCCGCAGGTGGCGACGGGGCCGTAGGTAGGCGACGAGGCCGGGGCCGCAGGTAGGCGACAGGGGCCAGGGGCCGTAGGTAGGCGACAGGGGCCAGAGGCCGCAGGTAGGTGACGGGGCCGGGGCCGCAGGTAGGCGACGGGGCCGTAGGTAGGCGACGGGGCCGCAGGTAGGCGACGGGGCCGCAGGTAGGCAGGTAGGCGACGGGGCCGTAGGGCCGCAGGTAGGAGACGGGGCCGTAGGGCCGCAGGTAGGCGACGGGGCCGTAGGTTCGCAGGTAGGCGACGGGGCCGTAGGGCCGCAGGTAGGCGACGGGGGCGCTGAAAGGGCGGCGACGGGACCGCGAAAAGTAGGGCAAGGGGCACGTCACGGGGCGTGCCGAACACAGATTAGCAGCGGAAGCTGTAGGTTGGGCCCACAGGTCAGGACCTTGGTAGCTCTGATAGCATGTCAAAGTTCTTAGCGAGGCTTAGGAGCCATAGCTAGTGAGGTAGGAAGTTGAGTTCGAGTCGGAGGAGAAATGTCGAGAGAAAAGGGGGTTTCACTATAGGTTCAAGGGTACAAATATGAGAGAACAAGCAAGAAAGGTGCACCACCAAATAGGAAAACGCTATAACTACAGTAACCAATCCTACAGTCAGTTACATATAGAAAATATTAAATTATATTTTCCGACACATGCGTCCCACGTGCTGTAGTGGGCGGTTTCGCAGAAGGAACGCCATTTAACGACCGGCCCCGCGGGCTCTTCCTCTTGCGACGGTGGCTCGTAGGCGTGCGGCGAGGTGACGATCACTCGCCACCAATCTATGGCGGGGCCCCGTAGCAGCGAAACTGCATATCGAATCTTCGTTGCATCTGCGACGACGTAATTCGCGTCGAAGAACACGTTCATTGTGAAAATCCACGATTGAACCGTCGGGCTCCTGCGTTGGCTAGGATCGAAACAGGGCAACCGTTGCAGCTTGAGCGGCATTGGTTCGTAAATGTCGTCGGTGCCTGCGGGTGCCGCAAGTTCGACGTGGCGACGCATTGACGGTCGGAGCGGCAGATTCACGGTCGGAGCGGCCCTAGTCCTCATCATGCAGGGCATTGACTGGGCTGCGCCATCACTGGCTACGCCTGAGTGCTGTCCCACGCTGTCGTGCTGTGATGGTGTTCCGAACGAGATGACGATTGGCCCGTCCGACTGTGCAGGTACATTTGCAGGTGTTGTTGTTGGTGCAGGTGCGTTCGTCGCCGACTACTGGCGGGCGGCGTCGAGCTCCGCCGTGAGCGGCGCAACTTCGAGAGCGGAATTCTCGAGCTGGCTCACGAGGCAATCGAGCTGCTCCTGCATCAGTGTCGCGAGTGTCGCGAGGTTAAATTCAGCCATGGCGGGGGTGTCGGGCAAACTCAGCGGGAGCCTCGGTCGTGGCCGTGCGTGCTTACGAGAGAGTACTTCGAGCGGCGGTGCTTGTTCGCTGAGAGGCGTTTACCCTCCCCAAAAATTGAGATAGTGGGGAAGCGAAGATGTGGATGCGGTCCCAGAGAAGATCGTAGGCTCTGGATACCATGTGTTACGAGTGCAATTGAGCATGCGAGCGAGAATTGCACTATCGAAGCAAAACAGTACAATGAGCGAAAGGATTGAGTGAGAACTAAATAGCGAAGGCCACTATTGTAACGGTAACGAACTGTGGCTGTCGCGCGACGGGCCTGTGACTGAGGTCGGGAAAGTGTCGAGGCGGAGGTCCGGAGCGCGGGTTACCAGCCGAACCGGGAGGCCGTGTTGCGATGTGCGAGGTGGCGGGAAGATTGTCGAAGCGAGGGTCGCGAGTGGTAACGGCGCTGACTGTGGTGCTACAATGATGTACGCGCTAAGCAGGGATGCGGCGCAAGGAAATGGAAATTTCCTTACAGTCTCATTGATTCACACACACTGAGGATAACATTTTTGGCTTTTTGGACTGTGATTGTGAACGTAAGTCCAGTAAACTGTAATTCGCGTTCCTGAAATGTTACATGATCTGTCAGTTCAAGTTTAGCTGAGTCAAACGCTAATCATAGGGCATACAGTTCAGTTGACGTGTTCTGTTACTTGTCAGTCCATCCGAGCCCTGGTGGGCGCAAACCCACTAGGTGCCTCTCCTGGTAGGTTTCGTACCCACCAGGACGCGCGAGCTGGCGGAAGCGAGTTGCCCGGGGCAAAAAAAACTATTCCCCATCACGACCGGCATGCGGTTCGGGAGCCTCAACCCTAAAATTTTAGGGTTGATGCCTCCCGAACCAAATGCCTTCCGAGTGGGTTATAGTTTTTTTCTTGCCCGCGGGCAGCTCGCTTTCGCGAGCACGCGGAGGTGATCCCGCATTCGCCTGTGTTTTACTGTTTGAGCGCGTATGAACCTCTGAGTGATTCCGGGTGCACTGTTCATCACCATTCAGCAAAAATGTTGACCAGGTAGGCATTTTGGTTACCATTAGGGAGATCGCGCCATTCCTTGATTACGATTCGAACACGTGGGTTACCGATCGAGCTCCAAGTGTGTTACCACGGAGGTAATTACCCTTGATTCATTTGTCCCAACTGCTTCAACTGACTCGGTTTTTTCCTCACAAGCCTCTTCCTCCCGCAATCCTCATCTTGTCACACCAAATCCCATTCACACGTGCGCCACCTGCGTTTCGCTAACCTATAGGCGGTATGGTTCAGAAGGGGCAGCAGTTTAAAGGCATAAAGAAGAAAGCGGTTCCACCGAACCGGCATGGGAAGGCGATCAAAGTTCGAAAAGGTTAGCGTTCACTTCCACGTTCGCTTACCTGCTTCCCTCTGTTTCCCCGCTTTTATCCGTAACGCTTCGCCCTGTTTTTTTGCTTGATTACGTGGCAATTGGCTCATGTGAAAATCAGGGAGGGTTGTGAAGGCGACAAAGAAAAACACCTCCGAACTTGACGCCAGCAAGGTACACTTTCCCAGCCGCTTCACGAGTCTTTGAAAAAAAAACGAATTATGGATGCGAAAAAGGGAGACCTAGCTTGCACAGTGCCTCCTGACCCTCTCGTCCTCCTCCGCTGTTGTCCCCTCTATCACCCATCCTATCCCTTTTTCGACAAACCCCTGCCACGGCGCACTCGTGTCCACAGGAAGTAACCAAGTTCATTAACGCGGCGAACGAGTCTCGTGCAGCAGCAGTGGCGGCGAGAGACGGAGCACCGCTGACGCTAGTCAAAGCCCCGCCTCCGGATCCGACAGATGCGGAGGGCAAGAAGGGAGCGAGCAAGGGGAAGGTTCTTATGGGGAAGGTGAAGCCGGCGGGCAAGAAGAAGTGAAGGAAAAGGTTGAGGATGGCAGAGAGGGGGTGTAGGGGAGAGGAATTAGGGGAGAGCAGGTAGGTGAGAGGGGTTCGGGGTTAGGGTCAGTGGTGAGCGGAGATGGGAGAGGTGATAGGGTTTAGAGGTAGGGGATAGGGGATATGGATAGTTAGGATAGGTGATGGGTGATCACGTGGTGTTAGGTAGAACGGAAGTGTGAGTTGCTGGTGTGCAGTGGGATGTGCAAAGTGTGCGGTAGGAGCGGGATGCAGGCGTTGAGCCGTTTAAGAAAGGAGAGAAGGACTTAAGGGTAGGCGGAGGGAGGAAGGCGTGGGCTGGGCGAAAATTGTGAGAATGAATGGGAGTGAGGGCTGAGGGCTGTACTCTCCAGCACAAGGTTCTGATTCAACCTGGACTCGTCATTCCCAGCATTCCCTCCCTTCCTCCACCATGTCGTACACATTGTAGTAGCGTGCTTTAGACTCGCCTTGGTGCTTCACCGGCATTCATGCTTGCATAGGGAGACAGGTGGTGTAAGGTTGGGGAGTGGACAGATCGGATGTCGTGCAGTGCAGCTGACCTGATATGGCACCACCTGCACTCAACCAGGCCTGCTGACTGCCCTGACACTGGGAATGCCAGCCAGACCAGAGGGGTGTTTGGCACGGGTGTAAGATATTGAGTTGAGGGTATACGGTATGACATTAGAATATGTGGTGAGTAGACATCCAGAAAAGGGTTCTTTTGGGTGTGCAGCATTTGTCAGCTTGTCATGCCCAGCTACAGCGTGGCGGCGCTTTTTTATTTCAAAAATGAGGTTGGTGATGTTTCTATCGTGCTGTACAGTATAGTGACGAATCAATCTACCGTAGTTACAGTATAAGTTGGGATCAAATGCGAAGAACACTCATAAACCAAGAGGTGGGGGGGAGGGGGGGAACTTCGTTGCAAGCACAAACCATCAGGCGCACGGTATGTGAACTAGTGTTAAGCGAGTTAACCTCGGCCTCCCACCAACCAACCGCACCACTTCACTGCTTCAAAAGGGTACAGGCAGTGGTGCATACACAAGCACGCCGAGCACAAGTGCTGCTGCTCCCAGGATCTTGGCCTGGTCAGAGGGCGGGGTGATTTCATTCGCCTGTGGAGTGACAGGTCCGCGCTGTAGGAAGAGGATAAGCACGACCCAGAAGAGCGCCACGTCGTTGAATATGCCCGTGATGCCCAGGAGAATGAGCGATGCGAGGGACAGGCGTGACGCCCACTGTTGAGGGGGAAGGGAGGGGGGTTGGATGTGAGGGCGGAGCGAGAGTGGGGTGAATGGGTGGAATGAGAATAAAAGAGAAGACCGCCACATTGTTGAATATGCCCGTGAGGCCCAGGAGAATGAGCGATGTGAAAGACAGGCGCCGCGCCCACTGTTGAGGGGGGAGGGGGGTTGGATGTGAGGGCGGAGCGAAAGTGGGCGGAATGAGCATCAGAGAGAAGAGCGCCACGTGCCTGAATATCCCGTGATGCCCAGGAGAATGAGCGATGCGAGGGACAGGCGCGGCGCCCACTCTTGGAGCGGGAGGGGGGAAAGGGGGGGGGGGGGGGGGGGGGGTGGAAAGGAAGGGAGGTTATGTGTGTGAGGAGGGAGAATGGAGTAAATGGGAGAGATGAATTGAAAGGTCTTGAAAATGCAGACAACAGATGACAAAGGACAGCCAACTGACGACAGGTGACAGACGGCAGGTGACAGACGACAGGTGACAGACGACAGGTGACAGATGGCAGGCTACAGACGGCAGGCTACAGACGGCGGCTGCTGTGCACTCACCTTCCTGCCAAACAGCCCCATGGCGATTCTACCTCCATCCAGCTCGCCCGCAGGGATGCAGTTAATGGCGTTGACAAGCAGTGCAGCCCAGGCCGCGAGGGTCACGGGGGACAGAGTCAGTGACGCCCCTTCTGTCAGCTGCGGACCCAGAAGCAGCTTGGCTGGGGGAGGAGCACGTGAGAACAGTGTGGGAGGAGGAAGAGGGCTAGTTGAGGAAGGGGGGGTTTGACAGCCCATGCCGCCGAGGTCACAGGGGACAGGGTCAGTGACTCAGTGACGCCCCCTCTGTCAGCTGCGGACCCAGAAGCAGCTTGGCTGGGGGAGGAGCAAGTGGAAAGGAGAGGGAGAGAGTGGAAAGATCTGATCTGTGAAAGCAGTCTCGCTATGTCTAGGCAGAGAACGAGCATTTAGAGACTCCAATGGAGATAGGGTCGGCGACAAGCCTTCTGTCAGGTGCGGGCCCAGAAGCAGCTCAGCTGGACGGGAAGCACGGGGGAGGAAGCAGGGAAGGTAGGGGAGAGTGTGGAAGGTGTGGAGAGCAGCGTGAGATTCAGTGATGCATGGGATTAGGAGAAAGCTGCCCTGTGCAAGCAGTATGCACCTGACCAGGCAGCTTAAAGGCACCAGTCTTTTGAAAACTCCTTCGGACACAAGGTGGTGATTTATTCCAGGCCAAACGAATAAGACACCTGCAGCCTAAGCTAACTCTTAAAATAATAGCTTCCATGAATGCGTTCGGAGAGCGAGCGAGTTGAGTAAGGTGGGTGAGCAAGGTGAGTGCAAGTGAGGTTAGGAACTTGAGTGCCTGAATGCACTCCATGGATGCCGTCCTCGGCGCAGCAGCAGTGGGTTTCATGGATGCCGTCCTCGGCGCAGCAGCAGCAGCAGCACCGCCAGTAACGAGTTCTGAGACGCCTCATCCTCCAAATGTAGCTGTTCTTAAAGGCTCCCCCCACTCACCGAGCCCGCCAACGAGAATGGAGTCATGAAACGCTGCGGCGTTGACGGTAATCCCGTCCTCAGGGCGCAGCAGCAGCAGCAGCGAGAGCAGCGAGTTTTGAGACACCTCATCCTCAAAACTCAGCTACTCTACAAGACACCAACTCACCCAGCCCGCCCACAAGAACCGAGTCATGGAATGCTGCGGCGTTGACAGTAATCCCGTCCTCTGGGCGCAGCACCAGCAGCGAGAGCAGCAGCACCGCCAGCGACGCTACCATGCCGGCCAGAGGGCCTGGCGCTGCCACTGAGACCAGGTCGCTGCGGCTCTTGACGGTGGATGTGATGCGAGTCACTGCTCCAAAGCTGCCCAGCTGGGGGGGATGAGGAGGGGGGGGGGGGGGGGGAAGGGGATGGGAAGAGAATGTTGAACCGTCTCAAGATCGCTGCGGCTCGTAACGGTGGATGTGATTCGCGTCACTGCTCCAAAGCTGCACACCTCACATTGTTTTGAGACATCTCAAAACTCCATTGGCAGGTGCCCACCTCACATTGTGCACGCACGGCGTGACCTCCACATGCCCTCCCCCCCCTTCCACCCCTTCCATGTCCATTCCCTCTCTTACCTGGAAGGACGGCACAAAGTAGGGGACGCTGAGTGACACGCCGAGCTGACTTTTGAGTCGACTCAAAAGTCATTCCCTCACTTACCTAGAAGGACGGCACAAAGTAGGGTTTTTGAGTCGACTCAAAAGTCAACCCATGTCCATTCCCTCACTTACCTGGAAACTTTTGAGTCGACTCAAAAGTCACCTCTTTCCATTCCCTCTCTTACCTGGAAGGACGGCACAAAGTAAGGGACGCTGAGTGACACGCCGAGTTGCTTGGCGGGGATGGCATGGCCTGCCTCGTGCACGGCCATGAGCAGCGCGAACACCATCGCTGCTGGCAACCCCTCCAGTAGCGGCCCTGTGAGGTACTCCGTTGATGGACTGGGGGGAGGGAGGGGGGGGAGGGAGGGGAGGGAGGGACGGGGGGGAGGAAGAGAGTGCGACTTTTGAGGCGCCTCAAAAGACGCCTCCAGAAGCGGCCCTGTGAGGTACTCTGTTGATGGACTGGCGAGGGGGAGGGGGGGGGAGGGAGGGAAGGGGATGAGAAGTGAGGGACGGGGGGGGAGGGAGGGAGGCAGTGAGAAGGGAGCATGGAGCATGTAGGTATTCTGGGCTAGATGCGGGGGGGGGGGGGGGGGGAAGAGAAATGTAGGCAGTTGTTTTGTTAGAACATCTCACAAATGCAGGCAATGATGCAAGCCGAGGGTGAGTGATGTGGAAAGTTGAGGCAGGACGCAGATCAGGGCAGGAGGACAGAGCCCCTCACACGAATTCAAAGGAAGTGACTTTTGAGTCGACTCAAAGCCCACACACGAATTCGAAATCAGAAAAGGATTAAATGTGAGGAGGAAAATTGTGAGGGAGAATCACTCGAGAGAAAACGTTTTGGAGAATGGTAAACGGAATGGATGAACAAACCACCTACCTACCACCTACCTTACATATCATCCTGAAGGGCCTAGTGGGAGAACAAGAAGGGCAATAGGAGAAGGGCGATAGGAGAAGGGCGATTGGAGAAGGGCAATAGGAGTAGAGTAGGGCAATAGGCAAATGGCGATAGGAGAAGGGCGTAGGAAAAGGGGGGTATAGAGGACTCACATGAACCCGAATTCGGGCGAAGGGCTATAGGCGAGCAGCACCGTGACGAGCGTCACTGCCCCGAACGCCCCTGCTGCTAGCCACTCCGGCACCGCTGCACATGCAGAGAACGATTGTTGCGAGAGAGAGAGTTGGGGACTGAGGGATGGGGAGAGGAGCAAAGAGAGGAGGGAGAGGAGAAGGGACGAAGAAGCGAGGGGAGAATAAGAGGAGAAGCAAGGAGAGGGGGATTGGGAGTGCAGAGGTAGTGCGAGGCATGTGCAGGGTGTGTTTTACATGTCTCCTCCACTCGCTCTCCTCCCTTCGCATTCTACTGCTTAATCTCTTCCCCAAACACGCTTCCCCTCACTTTCACGACCCCTCCCAACCCATCCACGCCCCTGAGCGACAAGTGCATACGTGCGGGCAGGGGATCGAGGCTGGAGCCAGGCACCACCACGGCCACGGGCCTTTCGTCCTGGTCCGTGGACTCGAGCAGGAACAGCACGTACTGATCGCCGTACACCTCCTGCACGGGGGTGGGGAGGAGAGAGACAGGCGGGAAAAGGGAGGCCGGGGGGGAACCGGGGGGGTGGAGGTTGAACCGACACAAAAGACACCTGGACGAGCAGGAACAGCACGTACACCCCGTAGCGGGGGAGTGGGGGTTGGGGAGAGGGGGCGGTGTGGTGTGGTGGGATGTATAGGTGGGGGAAGGGTGGATGGATGGATCGATGGGGTATGTGGGTTGCCCTTACTCCCTTCCCTTCTCGTCTCCAGCGAACCCCGTTCCCATCCCCCGCTATCCTCTCATCATCTTCTTTCCCACCCCACTCCCGCATTCTCTCTCCGCCTCGCATTACCTTGAGTCTGGCAGTCAGCTTCGTGTAAGCGCGCTCAGAGTCCCCTCTTAGGTTCCCGCGGAACAATACTCCGCCCTGACCGCGGCAAGGGGGAGAAGAGAAACGGGGAGCAGTAAGGAGATTGGGATTTGACAGGCGGAGAACAAGGAGGAGGTGGATTTGCTGGGTAAGCAGAGGGAGGCGAATGAATGTAGGATGTGAAGAGAAGGCGAACAGGTAGTTCGGTATGGAAGGATGGATGGATGGAAGGAAGGATCGCTGTGTCAGTTGAATAGCCTTTCACGCACGGTTCACCATCCTCGTGTTCGGCCCGTGCGTTTCTTCTCGTGCGGCGGTTCTTCCCCCAAGCCTCATTCCGTACGCCGTACCTCGTACGCCTCTTTCGTGAGCCGCATCCCGCAATCTCCCTCACCTCGTCCGCTCATCCCGCAATCTCCCTCACCTCGTCCGCTCATCCCGCAATCTCCCTCACCTCGTACGCTCACCTCGCACCCTCCCTCACCTCGTACGGCTCCATGTCCGTGACGAAGAAGGTATCGAAGCCAAACACGCGGTCGCGCAGCGAGTCAATGACGGCTCGAGGCAGCTTGAGGTCCGGCGACGGGAACTCCTGGTGGTGGTGGGACCACGCAGAGCACGGGGAAGAGCGCGGGAGATGCGGGGAAGAGCGGGGGAGATGCGGGAGACGACCAACAAGGGGGAATACGGTCGCGGATTGAGGGAACGAGGAAAACAGTTGAGTAAGGGAGGGACATGGCTTTCGATAAGTGAATATGTCCGAGGATTTCAGGGCAGAAGCGAACTCTCTTTAGTGCTAATGCAGTTGACGCGACTGATGCTGCTGCTGCTGCTGTTGCTGACGCTGACGAATCGTTTTCTGTGAAGCTTTGAATGGTATTACGAGATAAGATCGCCATGGCTCACCGGTGGAGGCTCGGACGCCAGCGGATCGTCAATAGGGGGCGGAGAGGGAATGGGCGGAAGGGAGTCCGCGGACGGCGCCGCTTGTTGCTTCTCCTCGCCGCTCGACCCGTCCTTCTTCTCTTCCCCGCCGTCGCCTCCTGACGCCATGCACCGCCATAGATGTCTCCTGGCAACGCTACCGTTGCTTGTGCTGCTGCTGCTGCTTCTTGATCTTTGCAGCCGCAGCTGGTGTCTGGACGGACATACATGGTGGGGGGAGCATCGCGCAACACACGGAGGCAGGAAATTCCATGCTAACAAAACACACTCAAACTTGACGTGAACGGGGAGTACCAGAAAGTAAATCGTGAACTAGGGGAGGTTGGAGAAGGAAGTAATGAATGGTGAATTCCGAATCTGGTACTGGTTGTTCACAAACGGCGAGTGAGGAGAGTCATTCAGGCACATGTCGGACATGAGCAGATGTGCTCACAGATTTCAGGAGCGGAAATTGAAAAGAATTCAAGGAAGAAGAAGCTGGAGAGCATTCATGTGAGAATGGGATGCAGGCAGGCGAACCTTTGAGGCGAGAAGCAGGCCGTTGCTGATGGACGCACAGGCGCGATAACGGGAGAGCTGGTTGCATGTGAACAGTCGTACAGGCTGCCAAATCGGACAGCCGAACCAGACATTGCAGTCTCTAGGGCGCGAACGAGAGCCATTGCAAAGCTGACGGGTAAAATTGAAATTGAATGGAACAGAATGAATCTGTGCCAACCGAACAAGGTCTCACAACGCCACCAAGTGTTATGATCTGAACACTTGGAAACAGAAAAGCGGCGCGTTCATGTGAAGGAAATCTTTTACCCGATCGACGGTCCGAATGGTATTTGTTGCACGAGTTTTTGGGATCGAATGGCCAGGAAACGTGGTATGATTGGGTTGGAGAGGAAACGGAAGGTTCCATGACACACAGTCTGTCACCTCGTTTTTTGGGAAAGAGGAGACTGCCAGGTTCGCAGTGACACAGGTCAGGTCGGGAGTTGAGAACAGGTCAATGTTAGGACGACACGTCAGTGCCAAGGATCTACAGAAAATTTGGTGATGGTTCATCCCGCTTCACATAGAACACTGCAATCCAGTCTAAGCCAACGTCTTATATTGCAAAAAATGAACAGCTTTTCTTGAAGGGACCCACAGAACAATATCAGGAATTTATGCAGATAATTATGAGTGAAATAAAGTTTGAATTCCACTGAATTAAATTTTGATTCATTAAGTTCTATATTTCCTGATTAAACTGACAAGTGGTGATGCTTTCAGAGTATGAGGCTTGTCATTAAACGTTCAAATACCGTGTATCAAAGTCGATGTAGCTTCAAACGAAATACCGATATGTCGTATCTTTCGTGTGGCTTCCGCCTGCCCCATCATGCCACGGCAAAAGCCATCAGCCCAGCCCCAAGTCTCTCGACCTCGTCCGCCCTAGCAGGTATCGATCCGCCCGCCAGGAACATCAGCTGGCTTTTCGAATGACCTCTGCAAAGGGACTTGGCTGCTAATTGGTCAGAGCCTGTCAGGTGCGGTTACCAGAGGGCAGCTCGCCAATTCCATCGAAACATGTAACATTAGGCAAAAGGCTCAGCGACATTAGTTCGGTGCACTACACTTTCGCACGTATGCTGTGCGAATCCCAGTTCCCAATGCGATGAGCACCAACAGTTCTCGAGATTAGGGTGCCCTCACTAAAAAAGACAGCAGCCAGCCAACACGGCAGAGCCACTTTAGGAGGCACCGATCCCCACAGCACTGATACTTCTGGAAATCTATATCGTTACAACTGGAAGCTAGGTGGCTGCGGATCTGCTGCTGTGTTTCCAGTGTCTTCGAAAGTTTTTCCTGCGATTAAGCTTCAACCCTCTTTCAGCACCAACAGCAGTCATTTTCGCAGCCTCTCGAGCTACGATTCATAGAAAGCCCTCACTGTCTGTGGTGTCTCCAGAGCCATGGAAAGCGTTATCGGGCTCGTCAATCGGCTACAACAGGTTTGTACAGCGCTAGGCGATCATGGCGGCGGCGACGAGACGGATTCAGCTCTCCCCACGCTGTGGGAGCAACTCCCGTCCGTGGCTGTGGTGGGAGGCCAGTCGTCCGGTAAATCCTCCGTACTGGAGAGCATCGTGGGGAAGGATTTTCTGCCCAGAGGATCGGGGATTGTGACTCGGCGGCCGCTGGTGCTACAGCTGCACAAGCAAGACGGTCCGGAATACGCGGAATTTATGCACGCGCAGGGGAAGAAAATATCGGACTTCAACTTGATCCGAAAAGAAATTCAAGGTGTGGAGGAATTCGTGGACGTTATATTTCTCAGGAAGCTCGTCATTGCTATTTACTTGCTGGTCGTATCAGACATCGAATTTCTGTGTGCTTCAGTCATTTCCACTGGTCCTGCTTCCATCAAATGTCCTCTCGAGTGTTTTACTCCTGGTGGCTTGAGGCTCCTATGCCGTTTCCGGTTGTTGCTCACGGTCGTAACCGTACGCTTGCAGAGCTTCTCTTGTCTTCTCTGCAACCGGAACCGCTCCCGCCTTGTGCTTTTACTCCATCCACTTCCCGTTCCCATCAACCCCTCATCTGAGGCGACTCAAAAGCCAATTTCTGCTCCGTCCCATTCCGTTCTCCGTAACCCTCCCGCGATCGCCAACCAGACGAAACGGACCGCGTGACGGGCAAGACGAAGGGCATTTCGTCGGTTCCCATCCACCTGAGCATCTACTCGCCGAACGTGATCGACCTGACGCTGGTGGATCTGCCGGGTCTCACCAAGATCGCGGTGGACGGGCAGCACGAGAGCATTGTGGCGGAGATCGAGTCCATGGTGCGGAACTTTGTGGACAATCCCAACTGTATCATTCTGGCGATTTCGCCCGCGAATCAGGATCTTGCCACGTCGGACGCGATGAAGCTCGCCAGAGAGGTCGATCCGCAGGGTGAGATGGGTGGGAGGCGTGAAGGGGGGTTGGCTGGGAGAACGGGGAAAGGGGGAAGGGGCGGAAGGAGGAGTCGGGAGGGAGGGGACGGAGAGAGCACACATGGTGGGAGTTGAGAGGGGAAGGGTGGGGGGGAGCAGGGGAGGAAAGGTAGGTTGTGGGTGCTTGCAGTGGGTGGACTGGACATGCGATTGTGGGAAGGTGGGAGCTAGTACAGCAGGGTTGGGCTTGCTGGTCTTACGAGAGCACAGAAGTGGTAATGCGACTCTCAGTGTCCATGTATTGCTGTCTTTCGCGCAGACTCTATGTCTATATGACTCCCCCCACCCTCTCTCCCCCATACTCTCCCTCTTTCCCTCATTCTCTCCCTCCCTCTCTCCCTCTCTTTCTCCCTCTCTCCCTCTCTTTCTCCCTCTCTCCCTCTCTTTCTCCCTCTCTCCCTCCTTCCCTCCCTCCCTTCCTCCCTCCCGGCAGGTGATCGCACATGGGGTGTGTTGACCAAGCTAGATCTCATGGACAAGGGCACCAACGCCCTCGATGTACGTCCTGCCCCTGCCCTACCTCCACTCCACTCCTTCCCCTCGCCTCCTGCTTCGCACTACAGTGCTGTTCGCTGCCTCGTCAATTCCTCTTATGGACCCTGGACCCAGCCCCGTTAAAGCCATACCAATCATGTTTCTGAGCGTTCATGTCTGGGTCACTGTGAAGTCGACGAGTCAAAGGTCATCTGGTCTCGAGGCTGTTTGTGCCCCTCGCTCCCTTCTTTCCCATGCTGATGTGCTCCACTGCGTCACCTGCCAGCAGCCAGCTGTTTGGCCTCCGCCCTCCTTGCCCTCCTCCCTCTTTCCTCTCCCACCCACTCGTGTGCAACCCATCCACTCTCATTCCGCCCATTCCCTCACCTCTCACACACCACTCTTCCTCCCCCTTCCTCCCCCTTCCTCCCCCTTCCTCCCCCCTCCCTTTTCCTCCCATTCCCCCCTCCCCCCTTCCCCTGGACCCTTCTCCACGTGTGCGTCAGATCCTGGAGGGGCGCACGTTCAAGCTGAAAAAGCCGTGGATCGGAGTGGTGAACCGGTCGCAGGCGGACATCAACCGCGCGGCGGACATGACGAGTGCGCGGCGGCGCGAGCGCGAGTTCTTCCAGACGTCCCCCGACTACGCGCACCTGGCGTCGCGCATGGGCACGGAGTACCTGGCCAAGATGGTGTCCAAGCACCTCGAGGAGGTCATCAAGTCGCGCATTCCCGGCATCACGGTCAGTGCTTGGGCTGGTTCTGTTCTTCTGAGGCGGTGAGGGGGAACATGGGTGATGAGGATGAGGGTGTTGCGTTGAAACAGGCCCTTTTTTGCAACGGGTTTGGGCGTGAGGGGAACTGTCCAGGGTGGCGAGAGGGAGGCGGTGTGGAGTGGTGGGGAGGTGTGGAGGGTTGGGGAGATTGGGGGCAGTGGAAGAGTGCACCTGGTGGCGTCGCGCATGGGCACGGAGTACCTGGCCAAGATGGTGTCCAAGCACCTCGAGGAGGTCATCAAGTCGTGCATTCCTGGCATCACGGTGCGTGTTTGGGCCGGTTTCCGTGAGGAGGGTTTGGGGAGGACCAGAGGAAGAGGAGGAGAACTCTATTCTCCGAGCACACACACACACCACCTCCCACACCCGCCCGCACCCTTCTCTCCCAGGCCCTGGTGAACAACGACGTGGACGAGCCTGACGAGTGTAACATTTGAGTCGGCCCAAGACTCGCCTCCCCACACACCCGCCCACACTGCACCCCTGTCCCCCCAGGCCCTGGTGAACAACAACGTGGACGAGCTTGAGAAGGAGCTCATGGCGTTCGGGCGGCCCATCGGGGACGATGCAGGAGCGCAGCTGTACCAGGTGCTGGAGATGAGCCGCGCCTTTTATGACACCTTCCAGGACCACCTCGACGGGCGGCGCGCGGGCGGTGACCGCATCACGAGCGTGTTTGAGGACAAGCTGCCGGCCGCGCTGAAGAAGCTGCCGTTCGACAAGTATCTCAGCCTGCAGAGTGAGTTTCCGGAGAACATCGTGAACTTTGAGTCGACTTAAAAGCCACGAGCGTGTTTGAGGACAAGCTGCCGGCTGCACTCAAGAAGCTGCTGTTCGACAAGTACCTCAGCCTGCAGAGTGAGTCTTCAGAGTGGGATGTGTGAGTT